AAAACATACTAACTGTTCTGCTTTTGGCTGCACAGATGAGCACAGAACACTGTTTAGAGTCCCAGCCTCAGAGGAGACAAGAGAGCAGTGGATTTATTGATTTATTTACTGTATATTGCTGCTGTCACACAGATCTAAAATAAACATGCAATTTATTTCCGAGCTGTTTACCTTCACAGACATAACCAACTGTTTTTTGTAGCTCATGTGTGTTTTTAATGTAAACTTGTGTGTGAATGAGAACTTAGTTTAGTACTCACATGCTGTGACAGCCGCTTTCTGTCCATGCTTCGGATGTGTGCACTCAGAAAACCGTATATCAGAAGTTTAAACTCATATGGTTTAAAACTCATGATTTCAACTCGATAAACATGATAATCAGAACCAAAACAGATGTTTTTAGCAGGTACAAGCTGTAATGGCACAGCTCTATTCTGGAAAAGAGGGCGGGGAGCAGCAGCTCATTTGCATTTAAAGAGACAGGCACGAAAAACAGCTGTTTTCTGCTTCCACTCAAAATAGGCATTTTCAAAATGATTTAATAAATTATCTGTGGAGTATTTTGAGCTGAAATTTCACAGACACATCCTGGAGACAACAGAGACTTATATCACATATAGTAAAAAGGGGCGTAATATGTCTCCTTTAAGGGTGTATAAAATATTTGGTTAAAGGGTTTGCCACTAGAGGGCAACACACAAATAATACTACTGTATTATAACTGTGTATAAAATTGTACTTCAATTAAGGATTGGTATTAAAAATATAAAAAGAGAAGAAAAAGAACACAAAATCACCTTGACCTTTTCCTTGAAAGATCAAGTGATTAAAGAGCTTATACAGAGATACATCTGCACAGCCGTAAGGTTGTGATTTCTGTTGGGAGTTAAAGACCATGATACGTGAATGTCATCCTGGACAGGGTACAAGGTGACCTGACGGCACCAGCTGTGCATTTGGCCCTTATGGAAGTACAGTGCTAAAGCATAGTCAAGCATAAATACTGTTTACTGTAAAGCCTGTAAAAGCCGGAAGCAGATTGTGGAATAATGAAACCACTGTGTATGTGAATAAGACTGCAAACATTACTATTTTTTAAATATATAAACAAAATATGTAAATTTTTTTAGTAAAGTTAATAAAAAAAAACAAAGGCTTTTACATTGTTACAAAAAAAAATTATTTTCAAACAAATGCTGTTCTTTTGAAATTTCTATTCATTAAAGAAATCTGAAAATTCTGTCATGGTTTCCACAAAAAGAATAATGGCTGCTGAAAATCCAGCTTTGCCATCACAGGAATAAATTACATTTGAAAATGCATTAATATAAAGACCAGTTATTTTAAACTGTAGTAATATAATTGACAACAACTTTACAGTCCTTTTATAGGCAAGGTCTCAGTTTTTATGCCAAATACACACACAAAGAGAGCAAATGGTGTATTGGTACAATAGTTTTTATTTTGTGTATTTTTTCCTTGAGGTAGACATTTTGACATGTAAAACACAATTGCGTACTCTGAACATACAGCATTGTAACAGTGAGGTAGATCATATTGTACATGTATTAAGTCATATGATTTTGTCCAGTATATTGCATTTGTAAGTGTAAAAGTAACATAAAATTTAAATGTAAATATTAACTAGACTGTCGTTTTCATTTTGGTTTGTACATTTCAGTGTATGTCCCTCTTGCCTCACCATAACAAAAGCTCTCTATTCTTTCACAAGCCTCATTTAAAACAGAGAAGGGTCAGAGGGTCAGAGGAAAACACATCCAGTGATCAACTCAGGGGGCTGGGACAGCTCTGTGGGTTTCCATAGTAAACTTCACAATCGGTGAATAGTAGAAAAGACTGCGAAGAACCTTTTAGCCTTTTTGCAGTAGCCCTGTGGAAGCCAGATATATTATGTGCCCTGTAAAAATATGCTTTGCATTTTTATCATTGAAATACTGTAAGGTTACAAATACATTTTTTATTATTTTAATGAAAGACATGGCAAAGAAACTACACTAACTAGACAATAAAAGACAAAAACATCTGTCAAACTCAAAAACTGTATAAGATAAACATTAAGTATGGCTTCGTTCACAATTCCTGAGGGAAATCAACTTTACATTCAAAGTTTATAGAGGAACCTTACCTTATATTCCTAAAAGTTTTTATCTGCTCTGACTTACAATAGTCTTCATTTTTGTGTATTGATTACATATGCTATTGGTGTGCAAAAATCTTTCCACCATAGCTCATAAACACAGATACCTGAAAGAAAGAAAGAAAAATTATTACTCCACCTTGCACTTTCTTAAAATAAACATTTCACCATCTTAAAATTTCACATACCAACACTAACCACACAAACCAATAGGAACAAACAGTAAATATGACATTATGATGTTTAAATACAAAATGCATGTACAACCAAAATGATTTTTCTCCTCTCATTCTCTTTAACATGCAAACTTTAGCATCACATGCAAAAGCTATTAACTTGGATTTAAACAGCTCATGGGAGGCAGAGATGAAGACTGATTTTAAAATATAAACTGATAAATACAGTCATGGTATTTCACATGCATTAAGAAACATACCAGTCCCTCTCCTTCAATCTTCATTGCATTGTAGCAGTTATAAGTAAATTCCAAGCTTTACGCTGCCATGCCCCTCACACTCTTTTTTGTCTCTTGCCTCTTCTTTTTTTCTTCTATCCAACTCTGCACTACCTCCCTCTGTCCCTGTGACAACAGCCCACATGCACAGCCCCTCCCCCACCCAAATCCTCCCCTCCCCCTGCCCTCCCTTTTTGCTGAAAGAATTTAAGCAGAAAGAAAAAGAGAGAGCTTGAGGATATTTTACTGTTAAATAACAGGGTTTAGTAACGGTTTCATGCACACAATTGGCATTTGTATCAGTCTAGTGCAATGGCATATATAAAAATGGTTTATATCTGTGTTTCTGTTGCTTATTTGGGGGCAATGTTTATGGAGATAAAAATGATCTGGATATCAAAATATAATTTCTATCAAGTAAACTGCGGAGGGTGCTGTTGACTGTAATACTACTGCTGGAGTGTTGAAGATCCCTGGAATGCGAAGAGGAATTATTCCACATAAATGAGCACTGGAGAAGCTTTCCCTTCCCCTCATCCAAATATAATAAATTATCTGTGGAGACGTTTGAGTTGAAACTTCACAGACACATTCTGGGGACACCAGAGACTTATATTATATATTGTAAAAAGGGGCATAATATGTCTCTCATTTAAATTAAAGGGATATTACTCTTAATTACCATGAAATTTTCAGCTGTAGAAATGTTTTTGCAAACTCATATCAGAAAAGCTCATATTATGGAAGTTTTGGTGTTTTTGTGGAACATTAATTACCCTAAAACCCAAAGCAGAGAAATAGGATGTCATTCATGTCATTTCCTTCACTGGACCGCTTGAAAAAAAAAGCTTCTTTGTTAAATTAATTAAACAAATGATTCCATATATACTTTCATTTTTTTAAACATTGCTGCTCTGTATTTCAGTATGTCAAATTTATAGCAATATTAGGTTGTGTAGCATTGTTCCTGTCCAGGAGAAAAGTTTGTTCCAATACACTCACATTTTCCCCAATTTCCCTATTGCCTTTGACAGGTGATCAGTCACATGACAAATGTTCCTGTAGCAAAAATGGCAGCCTCCAGGTTGCATCCTTACAGTGGATCATGCACTAGCTAACAACTGCCATTGAGATGAATGGGAATGCTACAGCTTTACTTCAGGTATTTTAGACTTATTTGATAATATACCATCAGCCATCAAAATATATCAATTAACAGCCTATATTTTCAGTAATTCACCAGATATCAGTTTAATGTGTCCCAAAAAATCTCATAGTTTAAACACATTCATTGTTGTTGCTTTAAAATAGCTTCTACGTTCTGAATGTTTTAGTGTGTCAGAATGTTACAAAAAAATGTGGTTTGTTAAAAAATGATTAGCCCCAATGTAAATGACTATTGTTTGTGATATTATATTTCACAATACCTTGCTTTGTGAAGCCAAAATTTTATTTTTATTTAGGGACTGTCATCAAAGCATTATCTTGTTTATTAGAATTAGAAATTGCACTTTTGTAGCAATTTACATGATCTGAATCTGGTTTGGAGAACTCAAAATCAATCCACCTAAGCTTTGCTGCTAATCTGTTTAGTTGGGGGCTTACAGTGCCCAAGCAATGGATCTTCAGCAAGCTAATTAGCTGTCATGGCATTAGCTCATTGTGCAGAAGTCAAGTAAACAAATCCCAGCCACTTTTCCAGATTTATCTATGCTTCATCTTCTTAGGAACATTAGCACATAGCATGATATCATGTACTAATACGGTTTCATTTCTTATTGATAAAATTAAATGTTTGATAGACTAGAATTCATATGGATTTGTAGTAATATGCTTTTATTGGCGAGGAACCAGATGGTCCTTCACAGCTCTTCAAACGGCTAACATTAAATACTGTAACAAGCTTGTGTATCTTGTAAGTAGAGATTAAAAGCATTTGCAAGCAAAACATTTGTACCTATCATTTCAGTTTAATCAAATGTCTGCTTTTTGTATCCTGTCTGTTCGTCCAGCAGCTGACGTATTTCATATTTAAAACATTAAAATCAAATATTAAATTGATCACTCCTCTAAAGCAAACTGTAAGTAATTTACAGTAAAGTAAGTAAAGTACTTTAAAACCTCTAAAGTAATTGTACTCCTAAATATAGGAATGAAGTTGTGCCTTAAAAAAAACAATCACCTAGTTTATTTTAAAATGTGTGTACAATAATTTTGTCCTGCCTGAAGACCGAATAATGAGCAGTAGCTATGAAACTTTGCTTTTATTGACTTTTTGTGTGAAATACACCATCCTATGACCCTCTTATGCTCACTAAGAGTTAACTCTAGTGGACAAAACATGCAATTTAAAAGAGGAAACCATTAAAAAATGTTTGATGTCTGTTCATGTTTGCTTGATTCCAAATTTTACCTAGAAAGCATGTTTTTATTTCATTATTGCTTTGAGAAGTTCACATTTCTCTTCACATTTCATTGTAATAGTTAAACTGACTGTATAATTTGTGCAGTGACATGGAATTATGTATTATAAAGACTCAATACACAACTGATGTTCTAAAAGCTGCCTTTGTTGTTCTGTAACTTGAACATCTGTGTAAAGTCAGAGTGTAGGGTGGAACAGGCTTTGTTGACAGAAAGCAATTACCCTGTAAATGACATCATACTGAAATTGTTGTGTGCTATAAATTGTAGTCTAGTCAAAGGAGAAAGGGGACTTTTAAATGGCAAAGATTCACCACAGGTTTCCATGTGCATGCTATCTAAAATGTTAAGTTTGTTTTGTGGTCTGCTCTTCAAGATCGCTGCCTGTAATATTACTCTCGGCCATCAAGTGCATCCTGGAGCCTAAACAACAAAAAGAAAGTAGACTCAGTAAATATATATGAAACACTGTAAAATTCAACAACTAAAGTTATATTTGATCTCTTACTTGAAGTCTCCCCCATCTAGAAGTTTCTTGTAAGTGTTGATCTCCGCTTCTAGTTTCATCTTCATATTAAGCAGGGCTTCATATTCCTGACCCTGCTCTGTGATCTTTGACCTCAGCTGTGCCAGCTCAGCTTCAAACTGCAGTATGATGGTGTTGTACTTCTCCACCTCTGCGTTTGAACGTAGCTCTGTGTTCCGCAGTGTGTCCTCAAGCGATGCTTTCTATAAAGACAGTAAAATCATAAACTTCGAATTTTATTAAAAATGCAACAATCTAACACTTTCATAAAATGGTGTGCATGTGTACGTTACCAGGCTTTGTTGGGATGCAAGCTCTATTTCTAGCGTATGAATCTGCCGCCGTAGGTCATTCATCTCCATCTGTGCACCTTGTAATGCTTCTGTGTTCTGAGCCACCTGCACCTGAACTTCTGACATCTGAGGAGAAAGAGTTGGTTAGATTTGCTTGGAGGAGTTCAATAAAAGCAAAATTATTGTTATGTGGTGGTCAGCAGTTCTGTACCTGGGATTCGTGCCACATTTTGAGGTCCTCTGCATTTTTAAGTGCAAGTTTTTCATAGTTAGCCCTCATGTCTTCCATTACTTGAGACAGATCCTGCCCCTTCGGTGCATCAACGTCCACCTGAACACCTGATTGGGCAATCTGGTTTCGCAGCTCCCCAACTTCCTGTCAAAGTTGAACAGAAAGAAAATCTGAGACATTTACAGTATGAAATTATACCTTTCAGTAATATGGTGACTTTTCCTGCATTTTGAAGTTGTGAGCATGTTGTGGAAGTAAAAACTCACTGTGATTAATTTAAAGGCCTTATCAAAATTGATATTTTAGTTTATGTCTGCTATAAATCCATCTATATGCTAGCATACACTGACAATTTTTTCCAAATTTCTACTTCAATAAGATAACATTAACACAAGAAAGAAAACTGTGCTCATCAAACAATATCATGGAGTCCATAAGCTTATTCAGAGATTTGAGAATCTCATTCTGTGTGTGAATCTCATGCAACTAGTGTTAAGTGGCTCTTATGCAATGGTTGTTTACATTTTCATGGTTTCTCTTGAGGAAAACAAGCTCTTCTTTCAAGGACTCAATTTCACCCTCCACATTCAGGCGACCAACGTTGGTGTCATCAATGACCTTCTTCAGACCTGCAATGTCTCCTTCCACGGACTGCCTGATGGCCATCTCATTCTCAAACCTATAATAACACACACAAAACAGTCTTTCACGTAATGCACTAAAATGTTTCTGTGTGCATGTCAACAGTCCTCCATCAACCATCTGTCAGACTAAAGATTTATGTCTATTTTGTGATTCTAAAAATGGGCACATTTTCAGAAGCATGTTCTTCGATACCAAGTTACAAGATGTATTTTTAAGTTATGTGGTGCAATAATGAATACTGACTTGACTCTGAAGTCATCTGCAGCCAGACGAGCGTTGTCAATCTGCAGAACAAGACGAGCATTGTCCAAAGTGGCATCAAACACCTACAGGCAAAACAAAGCACATATTTCACCAAACAAAACCTGTTTTTGACATCCATTCAGCTTTTGTTCCCCTTTAGTAACTCTACAAAAGATACGATTTGTCAGATGGTTTTAATTACAGCATTCTTGGAATGAGGTTCAGACGTATGTTCTTATCTAATCAACTAATTACCTAGAATCAGATTTTGAATTATACTTTGTATTAACTTATGAAATGGTCTGACTGAGCAAGACTATAAAATATGAGACAAAAGAGATGTTTTTTTATTTTGACAGGCTATTTTTGGATTATTGCTATATTTGATGTACTGTATGAGAGAGAATATGTGTATATCTGTAAATATACTGTATTATATAAGTGTGTAGTGCAGAACATTTGAATGGAAGTAATGATCAAATAATACTCATACTAAATTTGTCTGTGTGCCACATCCTGCACTTAAAGATTATCATGTGCTTCTGCTTATCAGACCTGGCTGTCTGAAATTGTCCGAAATAAAAAAATGTTAGCATTCTTTTTTAGTTTAGAACATTTTTCTATTAGCTTAGTTTTGTACTTTGCAGTTTTACAACTGGAATTAAAGCAAAGATTAGACATTTTGGAACAATAAATGACTCAACCACATCTGCTATAAATGATGGAGTTCTTCTTTTGCATTCTTGTTGTGTGCGAGAGAGTGCCATTGTGGCTGTGTGGGTGCATTTGCACGTGTGTGCGATTGCTTATCCCACATCTGTTTTGCATTATGATTCTAGTCAGAGACTCTGTAGGGAGTTTCAGCTGGCTGTAGTCGGTCAAACATTCTTCTAATGCTTTAGAACTGATTGTGAATGGTCTGTTTGTGTTGACCGTTGTCATGGTTGCACAGATTTTAAAACCAAATGTGGAGGGTTTTGAGGAATTCCCTCAGTCATAATCATAATACATATAGAGAAAAGCAGAAGCACAAAAGAAAGAGGAGAGAGAGAGAACAGGGCGTGTGCCACATCATGCATTTTTATTGCATTGAACGGTTCTCATGAACACTACAAAAACTTTTTTTTTAATATGCTTAAGGCATTATTAAGACCTAAAAAGGCTCAGGTTTGAGCGACGAAGCAGCAAAAAAAAAAATTTTTTGTAAAGTTTAAGTAAACATAGTTTTCATGAGTTTAACATCCAGAACACAAACTGGAAAAAAAGGGTTAACCTAAAAAAATTGCTTTGGGAAAAATGGATTTTATTCAAGTTTATGCAATATAATATAATATAATTTATTATATTATAAACTTTTCTGTTGAAATTAATACATAAAATTGCTCTTTTCTATTTGTGTGAAACTTTAATTCTAGGTTTTGCTTCTTCATTTCAGTTTGATTACTGTAATTCAAAACATCTGGTATCTTCTCCTCCTAACATAAATAACTGGCTACTCTTGCAATCTTTCAAATGCTTCCTTTTGCATATTGAACCCCCACCAAAAGGAAAACACACACTTAGACAAAGCATTTAAACCCAACAATGTCTCTCACCTTCCTCCTCAGGTCATCCAGGATTGCGTTGTACTTGCTGTAGTCGCGTGTTTCTGGTCCACCTTTCTCTAGGGCCTCTCTGATCTGCATCTCCAGTTTGCTGTTCTCCTGCTCCAGCCGGCGCACCGTTTCCAGGTAAGTGGCCAAACGGTCGTTCAAATTCTGCATCTGGCCTTTCTCGTTGCCCAGGATGGACCCTGTAGAGGCAACGCTTGCGAGGGACCCCGCTGCACCAGCACCCATGCCGGCTGAGCTCACCTTGAAGGCTGTGAAGGAAGAAATGCCCCCACTTCTAGGAGCAGAACGGAGAGACATGGAAGAGCCAGATGAGATCCTGGTGCCATGTCCACCTGCCCCGCCATACGTGCTAGCAGCACGGTGTACCGGCACAGAGCGGGTAAAGGAGATGTGAGAGGCCTGAGGTGCATAGAAGCTCATGGTGGTGGAGGAAGGAAGTACTGACTGCACGAGAGAATGAGTGTATGCTGAGGGACGTCAGCTGTTGAGAGCTATGGGAAGAGAACTGTGCGGCTTTTATACCCCCTCCAAACTCTTTCCGTTCCTCCTTTTCTCTCTCTGACTCACAGACACCCATGCACACTGACCAGCTAAGACCCTGCCCACATTGTCCATTTTTTCCCTAACTTTTTTTCAGTGATCTCTAACGCCCTTCCCACATCCTTTCTCCCCCCTTTTCTGCCTGAAAATCACCCCTCTGCCTCCCTCCATCTGAACCCAATCCTTGAGCTCATCTGGCCACATATACATACTGCAACGAGATACAGCCCTGAGCTCAGGCTCATTATGTGCTTTCAGTCCCACAGTGCTTTAGTGAAAGCTTAAATAACAATTCTAACTAAGAAGAACAGAGGCTGAGAAAGAAAACAATGGTTTATGATTCTGATCAAGCACCTTTGGGACAGGCTACACCTATGTATACATTTTACCAAGAACACGTGAACTAGATTAAAATTTTTATTTTTTTGACTTTAGATCCTTAATGATAGTTCAAGTACCACACTTTACTATTTTTTTAAATATCTTTATTTTCCACAAAAGAAATAAACTTTGGAGCATGATAATTAAAATTTTTGGCTGAACTATCCCTTTAAGGCATCTAAACGTTTATTCACTGGGATGTTTTTGCAAACTGCAGTACTACAAATAGTCTCACTTGTTTTTGGCCTTTTAAGGTCTTGCTCAGAATTATATAAATGTCCAAATATGTGAAAGAAAACATTGATAAAGACTCAACACTCAGAATAAATTGGGAGTTGTATAAATAAACAAGGTGATAAATGCAAAAGCTCAAGGTAATGTCTTAGTGTTTGGAGTTCAGTAAATGAGGAACATTGTGAACCTCTGCCTCTACCTGGTTTAAACTGTAGAAATTTTGGTAACAATTTTGCTGTCTAAGATCAAATTATCTTGATGGTTTCTCTTGTTGTAGCACAAAACTTGGAAAAACCTATGTAAATCCATAGTCTTGGCTGAGATGAGAATTGTACAGTCCAACATAAAGTATTGTTGATTTTGTGCAAGCTTTCACTGGGATCATATTGAACAGTCTGGCTTTATAAAAGACTATAAAAAACTTTATAGTGTGAACCCAGCTTTAATGTCACAGGTTTTGATATCTGAGAATGGCAAAAAACAAAACAAAAGCAATAATATATAGCTTATTGTTGCAATAAAGATGTTGCTTTGAAATACCTGCATGTGATCCAAAGAACAGGACACCCAGAGGCCTAACACACCCAGGAGGTAAAAGAAACCTGAGGAGTTTGCACAAAGGGTTTTTGAAAGCCGATCTTTTCTTTTTCTTTTTCTTTTTCTTTTTCTTTTTCTTTTTCTTTTCTTTTATTTCTTTTTCTTTTATTTCTTTTTCTTTTTCTTTTTCTTTTTCTTTTTCTTTTTCTTTTTCTTTTTCTTTCTTTCTTTCTTTCTTTCTTTCTTTCTTTCTTTCTTTCTTTCTTTCTTTCTTTCTTTTCTGAACATGCTTATCCAAACTTGATTTCAGTGTTCTCAGCAGTTTTTGTTGTATCCATAAAAAAAAAAAAGTTAGTGTTTGTAACTTGCTACAAACTTTCAACGTGCATCAAGGAACAATTCACGTTTCACTTTTTAAAAAATAAATGCTTGTATACACAGTTTAAAATACCTGTGATGTAACAGGCAGCAGGTTGCCTATTTAGAGACTGAATTAATTTCTCGTGGAACATTTCTCTGACTTGGAAGAGAATCTTTGCTAACTCTTGTCAGTGGTTATAGTGCTTTCACTGTGTCAAGAGTACAATCTGCAGTGTCTTTGTTTGAATGGGGTGTCCATAGATTCCAGAGAGCTCTGGTTACCGGATGAGTTATCTGTCTCATGATTTCCGGGAGCTCTGAATACAAATCACAGACTGCCCTGCAGGAAAAAAGTTCATGGTTTGATCAAGCCCCTCTTTTTTCTTCTCTCTTCATGCTTTAAGTCTCCAGCATGCTCTCCTGCTAGAGCTTTTGCTCTAGAAGCAGTAAAGTACATCTAGTATTCAAGACTACTTGTGTTTGTTTCAATCATACACATGGCCATGTGTGTGTGTTTCGTTGTACTAGTCTGTTTCTAAGCAATATTTTCATTTCCTTTCTTGTGGTTAGTCAAAACTGTGCTGTGCACATCAACAACAGTCATACTGAGATGCATCAATTAAATCAGGAGGATAGAAAGCTGATCACAAGAAATCCTGTTTACAGTCTCTTCTCACTTCATTATTGAATTTTTTCCAGTCAGTAGCCTAGTGGATGACACATGTCTGGATAAAGATCTGCCGTGTATTGGATAAGGTCTGCAGAGCACAGACAAGCCAACACATTAATGGTTTACAAATGAAGAGTCCAATGAAAAGTTGGCAGAGAGTGAGCAGACAGAGAGCAGGAAAACGAAGGGACAGTGAGTCACACTCCAGAATGAAGGAATTTGCACCACCCTGCCCCCTTTACCACGTGTGACCTCCCCCACTCCTAAATTTCTTTTATTTCTTTCTCTCTCACGCACAAACATGCATGATGTATCGCTTTATTTCTCAGTTACATGAATGCAGTGTTTTAAACTAGTAGGCTTGTTACTTAAATAATAGACTCAAATTTACCATCATTATATTTATGAAAATCTGACAGCATTTTTTAACAGACTCAAAAAGGGTGGATTTTTATTCGAGTTGCACCCATTTCCAGAAGAATCTAGATGAAATTGGCACGAAAGGCTGTAGAGAGAGCGAAATAAATGTCCTTGGCAACCACATTCAGCTCAACTTTTCATTACTCTTTTGTGTTTGTCTTTTTTTTTTATCATTTCCATACATTCGCCTTCTGTGATACCCTCTCATTATCTGCAACTCAAATACTCTCAGGAAAATAAGAATAAAATAGAATAATGGAAAGCACAATGAAAGGAAAAGCTGAATCTTTCAGTAAAGGGAAACTGGGATCGGATTTCTCTTTTCTCACTCCAGCATTGTTTGTATGCTAGCATGTGTTTTAGCTGTATGTACTCTGTTTTAAGGGATAACGTTTTTTGTGCTTTTTGATATTTCTTATTCAGCAGGGATGCATTAAATTGCTCAAATGTATAATATAAAAATGCTATTCTCTCACATTTTTTTTCAAAAAAAAGTTTCCACAAAAATAGTAAGCTGCACAGTTGTCTCCAACATTTATATAATAATAAGAGAATAACCAAACCAAATTAGCATATTACTGTGATTTCTGAAGGATCATATGATACTGAAGACTGGAATGATGGCTATTGTAATATATTTTAAAATACTGTAATATTTTAAGTTAAATAAATATTTTTATAAATATAATAAAATATAAATAAAAAAGTTTAATAAATAAATATTTCAAAATGGTACTGTTTTTACTATGAATAGTGTAATTACATCTCTGTAAGGAAATAAGCGGTAGTATGACTAATTACAAATGTGTACTAAAAACATCATAAACAATTAAAATGTAATCTTTTATTTCAACATAAGTAGTTGTTGATATACTGTAAAGACATGTATGTGTATTTATAATATGTCACTGAGATTTAGTTTTGTGTGGCTGTAGACTAAGGTAAAGATAGAAGGCTGTGATTGGTTGGGGTGAGGTAAACTGGCTGTTATGATGGATTAGTGCGATAGACACACCCTGTGACATGCCACATAGATTTTCTCAGCAGATTTAGAAATAATTTTCATGATTCATTTGGTAAGAAAAGGTAAAAGTGGGTGAAGCTTCAGGAAAATGATGTCCTGACAACAATGATTGGCACCACAAGAGTATACACAGTCCCACTCCCTTCACTATAGCAGCTACAGATTCATGAAATACTTGCGCTGCTTGTGAATTTTTTTTTTTGTTACTTTGAATTCCTGTCGATGGAGAAATATGCTTTTGCCCATAGAATAGTGTAATATCTACCTACAAGAGTTATTTAGACCTTGCTAACCAGCCAAACCTTGATTTCTTGATCTAAACCAGAAGCCCTTCAACTCTCATTCTGCTGTCTGTTCTGTAGACATGGTGCAATTCCAAACTCAGCCACTAGGAAGTGCTAAAAACCGCCAAAACTGGAAACACAAAACAGTCTTGACATAATGTAATTAGTTTACGGCTAGCACATGTTTTTACTTAGCTTTTTTTCCATTTCAGCTCTTTGCATGGTTTTCAAAACCTTTGTAAAGCATTTGTGTTCGTCTTCAGAGCTGACTGTCTATTCACTCTACTACATTTCTCTCTGTTAATGCTGGTTAAAATTCAACATTTGCAGTCATCCAACTTTACAGATTTTTTTTATTCCAGATTGTTTGCAATTTCTCTTTATTACTGTAATTCACAGTTTTGCAACCGTTCCCACTGTGGCGTAGTGATACATGGGTGTGGTAGGTTGAATTATTCGTCTTTGTCTTTTAAGCCTATTAAAATATAACAACACCTCATTGTCTGTTTCTAGTCCCACTTACCTGAGTACTGTTTATGTAAACAACTCCCTCCTTCATTTCAGCACCTTGTACTTACAAAGAAGACTTTCTCATTCTGTGAAACATTTATCCAAAAGCAAACAGATGTTATGCCTGCTTTCACATAGCTGTCACTCATGAGCCAATTGTTTTTCATTAGTGCTGTTATATTTACCCCCTGGTGCCCCAAAAGGAAAACCAGGACTGCGTCAGCCCCGACAAAAATGGTGTAAAATGTTTTTTAAACAGAAACGGGTAATGCGTTGAACACCCTGTTCTAATGACGCAAGAGTTGCAACTATGGCAGCTGAGAAGGCCATTCTTTGTGGATGAAATCGGTATAAATGTGTGTTTAATACTGCGAAATAAGCTCGATGGTACAGTCACTGCCCTTGCCCTCCAGAATAAAAGAGAACATCCCAATAGAGTGAAGGGATTTGTGGAAACTGTGGTTCCTAATTATTGTGATCCAACATTTGCCTCGCATTTCAGGATGAAAAGACAAACATTTCAGGTGAAGGATAATCCACTTCTTACCTCCGAGACTGTGTTATGATCTATATGACCTTATTATTTTTATTGTGAGTATTAGGCTTATCATTATTGCTGATCACTGTTGTTGTGCTATGATATTGTAATATTTACCATTTACCATATTTATATAATCAGAGGGGTATAGAAAAGTTTATGAAAGTGTCACTCCATAATACAATAGCAAAATATATAAATATATATAGTATTTTTATGTTACATTAATTAG